GTCCGTATCGATGGAGGCATCCTGTGCGAGGCCATGGTCTACGTGCTACGGGGCGAAGCCTGGGGCTTCCCGCAGCGCCCAGTCCAATTGGCACTTGATTCTTGCTTGCTTTAACCAATGAATGAATAGAACGATCAATACGCGCAAACAGACACACACACACACATGTATACACATATAGATAGATACTTTAGAGACATATGTGCACACAGTCGTGGTCGTGTTTTCCGTTTGAAACCAACCTTTGTCAACCATGTTGTTTTTTCTTCCCGGGGCAAGTAAGGTATTATCGCTTCCCGCAGCACCAGGCGTCTCAGCCGCACAAATCGAGGCCACTTGCCTTGCTGGCCTCAGGGCTTGAGGATGCCTGACCGCCATTGTATATACAGGCTCTTTTGCATCTACTCCCTTAGCCCCCTCCAACAAAAGGAAGAGGCAACAAGCGCAACCAAAAAAAGAACAAGGCGTTTCTTCACCCTGCTCGCTTTTTGTTCCACAGTTTTCCACCTTTTTCCTCTTTTGCTTATTTCCAAAACGTGCAAACCGAGCCTCCCCAGCTTTCTATTGCCAGGCGCCGCCGCAGTACCTGCCGCGCAAGGCGGCCCAGCGCTTGTTGGGCGAGGAGCTCATGGCCCGCAGCGAGGAGCTCATGGCCTGAACCAATTGCAATCTAGACTGGGCCCCCCAGTGCCCTTCTCTCCCCTTTTTTGGGGAGGGTTCCCCTACCAAAATAGACCGCAGCAAAAAGTTGGTACCCTTATTCTAACCTCCCTACTGGAGGACCTAGTAGACTTCGTTGCTCGTATCCGCCGAGCCCTGCTTCCCCCTTTTGGGAAGCGCATGGGAAGAGGGGAACGTGTAGAAACCGCGCGGATGGCTCCTCCACAGCTATCTAAAATACCCGTGGCCGCGGGGATGCCGGGGATGTGGCCTGTACAACAGATTTAGCTTCCGTAGCTTTAAGAAGCTACGGGACCTCATTGCAACGTCAAAGAGTGGTGACTGCACTGCTTTATCTCGGGAGCACACACACACAAACGGCGCTCGCTGAATCTTTTTTTGCCGGGGTTTGTGGGCACCTTGTGGTCGAGGCCCTGGGACATGCAGAATGCAACGAGAAAAGAGGAGGTCCGTGCGGAGTCAATTCTGGGGACGTTCAGCCTAAATTCAGCCTTGACCACAAGAAAATGGCGTGTTTGCTGGTGTTGTTTGCTTGTTCGTGCCTGTTTGCAGATTGTAACAATTGTTGGCATGTCCTAGAGACTCTAGGACCTAGGAGAGTGAGCTCAGTTTTTCAAGGGCATTTGCAACATGTGCGGAAAGGATGAAACGAACGGGAGCATAACAATATACATACATTTTCTGTATCTATCTATGTATGTATATATATATATATATTTTACACATGCATTTATATATGCACCTACATATGTGCTTATGTGTGCGTCTTTTCAAGTAATTTCAGAGCTCAACTCTTTCCAGGGTCAAATACAACCGCCACTTCCCCATCCACCCAAACATTGCACCCCTCGAGCGAGAAGGCCCTTCTGATTTGCCGTGAAGCTGCAGTGCTTGATGCTTCCTACAAGGGAGCTTGTTTAGGCCTTTATAGTGAGCTAGTAAGCTCCCGCAGGTTATGTGGCGCCACATCAGCCAATCTAGGCGCTCACGTCGGCGTGCTCTTTTTCCGGCTAAACGGACTCCACCCAATAGGGGCTATGATTCTATGATGTATTTTGACACATGTAAGCGCCCAGCAGATTGCACGCAATTGTTCTTTTCGTCACAACTTAGCTTGATTTTTAAAGTACCCCACAACCCCATTCAAGTCATGTCGCCCCTTTTTGACTGCTATTGGGTTTTGATCTTTAAACCTTTTGGGGCATCCGGGTCTTTCCGCTGAACCCACTAGCAGAGGGGTCGTTACCACCGCCCTGGGACCGGTCCAGGACTCCATGCGCGTCCTCACAAAGCGCTGGCTGCTCTGGGCCCGCGCGGTGTGCGCCTGCGAGGTGCCGTTCCTGCGCCTGGATTTTCTGCTGACGGAGGAGGGGGGCGAGTGTCCGGCAGGCGACGCGGCGACTGGGAGTCAAACCCGGGGGTTTGCTCTGGTAGGCCGGGCCCCCGTGTGGGTTTTGACATATGTGTGCGTGTGTTTTTGGAGGGTGTCTGTTTTGAGGCCCTTCTCAAAAGCGAAAGTAGAAGGACAACGACTTCCTCTGCCACATGTCCTGTTTAGTGGTTGTAATTAACCCCGCCAGTCGCTTGGGCACTGTTCTGCAAACCTGGCATTTGCTAATTGGTCCGTTGCTGAACCCACTGGAAATGATTGGAACCGTCGGAGCTGTAAAGGGCCCCGTAACTCATCATCATAAATGCATCCAAGACCTCAGACCTCCAGTGGCCATGCAAAAGAAGGGCACCCTGGCAGCTGATGTCAAAGGCAATCCACTCCAAACAAAAAACAAAGGGCACCGCTAAATGTCTGGGGAGCCCCCCCAAACAAATAAGTCTGTCCCCGAAGACCCCCACTCCCAAGCGCCAGTAAGGTAGCCGCACCCGCTTTCAGATGGAGTGTTGGGGAGAAGGATTTTACCCTCTACCAGCGCAGCGACCTCTCCGGGATTGGGCGCACCTAATGTCCTTCAAACCACTCACCCCAACCACCATCCTGTAGGCCAAAATACGGAGGGAGCGCCCGGCCGGCCAACTGATTGCAGGCTACATATTGGGTTCTGGTTGAAAGCTTTGAGGGTCGCTTTGAGTCAGCTTCCTTGCTTTATGGTTTGGGACATGAAGTTGGAACACCCCACCCCCATCAGACCAGCCGCCCCATCCAGGAGGGTGTGTGGACCGGGGAGGTGAGCGAGTTGGGTGTGGCCGTGGAGCTGCAAGGCTTGCATCCTCAGGACGATCATTGACCCGCAAACCGAATGCCTGTTTGAGGTCGCTGCTATAAATTTGCCTCGTGTTTTGCTAGGCCCATTACAAAGCATATCCGCGTTGGCAAAACCAAAGATCGCAGTACATTTGCCTAGTTTGTTGTTCTATTTTTTTAAAATTATTATAACCAAGGCCCATTACAAAGCATGATTACTGCGTTGGCAGAACCAAAGGTGAATGGCGGACTCTTTGGTGGACATGCGGCAATCATGGGGGTGTATGTCCACCAACCAGTGTTGAGGGTGTTGGTTAACAATCATAGCCACATGGTCACATGGGAGTTTCCCGCCGAGTGCGGGGACGCCGCGTGGAATGTGTGAAAAACAAATCCATTGAGCTTTGAGACTCTGCAACATGTGAGAAGCCAAAGGTGTGCAGTAGTCCGCGATTAGTACTTGCACAGCGCAAGTTCTTTGAAACAACTGGTGAAGTTTGTTTCTGCTCACAGTGCCATGTTGGACATTGCGTGCTTCACCAGGCAGGTTTTGCCTAGCAACCGTTGGTGCAGCTGCAGATGGGTGAGCAAAAGCCATCAACAAGCCTCACCATCAGCTTCCCACGTCGTCAGCAGCGCCAATCTACCGGGCCCAAAGGCAGCTCTATTTCACGGAGGGGCCTTGAACAGTGCAATGGAAAAGATAATTGTGCCCAGTTCCCTCTTCACCGTGGCATCGCTGCGAGGCAATCGGCAGTTTTGCGCTGGACACTGAACCTTTGAGCTCGCCAAAGAAACAAACATGCGGCTGTGCCGTCCAGATTTATGTTACACGTTTAGAAGCAAATCAAGCGCTTGCAAGGACCACTTGCCCCCCCCCTGCACGCCTACAAAGTTTTGAGTTGAGAGTGAGCCTATGCTTTTGAACCGATTTTGCTCTGCCGTTGCAGCACAGAGCCTCTCCTTGCCACTCTTATTGCGTGACCTGTGCTTGGCGAGGAGAGTCGGGACCTGGTCATGGATGCCGTCATTGGCTCCATCCTGGATCCGGTCAATCTTTCGACCTCAGTTGGGGCAGGCTATGGTGAGGGGTGAGGAGCTCAGTTTCTTGTTTTTGAACCTCAATGCTTCTTTCAGTTTGATTTTTTCGGCCGGGCCACTGAGGAAGTGAGTGGTCAGGGCAGAGGTGAAGGCAGCCTGACTCAACACGGAGATGTTCAGCCTGGCCCGTCGCCTGGACACGAACGCAGCCAAGTTCGACGACGCCGCTGGCCACCAAGCCACGCACCTTGGTTTGTAGAAATGCTGGAGGAAACCATAGCACCGGGGGGCTGTTCGAAGATCCATTTCCTCTTGGAAGGGCTCAAAAACTGCCAAGCCACATGACACTCCTGGTCATGGATTCGGCCTGACTGGCTGTAGAGCTCCTGGGTGCACCACCTTTGTCTCGGAAGTGCTAATTACCTACATATCCCAAATGGACAGATCATATCCCCAACCCTCGCGGAACCCTGCGAAACCGTACCTCAGAACCCTCGCGGAACCCTGCTGAACCTTGAGCCCTCGCAGAACCCTTGCGGAACCTTAACCCTGCAGAACGCGACCTCAGAGCCGCCCCGGGCCACCCAAAGCCTATCTGGGCTGAGACCCCAACCTTTCAGCTGTTGGGGATCATCATGCTCATAGGCGATGCCCCGTATCCCGGGTGCAGGCCCCAGCTTTCATATGGCTTGTGGCTCACAGAGCAACTAAGTTGGTCTCGTTTGCCCGAACCACACCGTCAACTTCGTCGGGCCAGTCCAAGGTCCTTCCAGCCGACGGCATCCGCGTCGCTGGACTCTTCGGGTCACTCCGGAACGCCGAGCTGCGGAAGCCCACGCCGTTCTGGAAGGGGCTTTTTCGCCTTCGCCGTATGTGCGCACGTCATCTTTCGCGGCAAAAGGTGGAAAGAAGTGTGCGCCTGCGAAGTGTGGTAAGGTGCGAAGGAGACGTCTCCAAGAACTATGTTCTTTAGGGCTCGATGTGAATGTGCAGGGGGGTGGACATCATTTTTGGGTGTTTTGCGCGCCTTGCGTGCTTCCGAAGCTTGAAACAAAGAAGAGCGAGGCCTCCGTTCGCTTAGGTGCTTCCATCGAGGACTCCCTGCGCTGCGGGCAGAGCGTCTTTGAAACCGAGGCGGGGCGAGGTGTGGGGCAGATGACTCGGGCTAAAGCTAACTTAGCTGCAGATTGACCTTGAATGGCTTGATTCCTGCTCCATTATTTCTTTACTTTTTCTTATTTTTCGAAGATTATGGAGTGTTTAACTGATTTTGGAGTGGTGGAGAAGTGGCTGCAAGGTGGTCGTTGGTGCGCACCTTGCCAGGACCAGGGCTGCAAGTACAGGGTGAACCTGGAGGCGAGGTGCAGGGATGGACGGCTGTTCCGTATTGCTAGATGTTGCAGCCTCTTGACTGCCCTTGTGCTCCAAACCGCGGGGGGGGGGTTGACACCGCTTGGTCCTCGAAAAAGGCCGGCTTGGGAGATTTAGCTTGCCCTTTGGGCTTGGTGCATCTTTGGCTTCTTCGGCGGAGCCAGCGAGGACTCACGAAACTTCCTTACTTGGATATCCTTCAGATTTGTGATGTAAAGTAACTTGCCCGGGTGGCTTTGCTTGGGACACGAGGAAGCCGGGTGTTTCAATCCAGCCGCCCTCCCCCCCTTCCACCGTCTGTGAGGACTTCACCCTCACCAACCTCAGCACTGGCTGCACCGCCAGCGTTCGGCCCCTCGAGGCAGCCTTCGGGACGGGAGGTGCGCTTTGAAGTACCCCTTGGAGCCTTTGCTTCTTTGCAGATCTTTACACGTTTCTTTTCCCCTGATTAGGAAGAAGGTTCTAGGATTCCTGACTGGGGGGTTAGGGGGTCACGGGGAATGGACTTTTTTGGAAGATGTGTTCGGCTTGTTTGTTGAGGGCAACCGATGTTTGCCCACCTGCAGAAGTCATCGGAGGGGGGGGGGACTTCCGGAAGAAAAAGGGTCATGGAAGTGAGAGGTAAGGCCCACTAGAACCAGGGAACCTCTAGCCTTCATTGGGAGGCTCTTAAGGTTTCGCTGGCAATTTGCAATTTGCAATTTCCACAGCCCTGGAAGGCAGGGTTGCTCGTCCATGTTACGAGGTCCTTCCGATGCATCCGAGGTGGATGCATCGACAGGAAGGTTGCCGCTTTGCAATGTGAACCCTGGTTCACCAGGGGACCCCGGCCAGCTCGGCCGCGGTTCCAAGGAAAATGTCGCTTGCGTCTTCTGCTGGAGTACTCCTGGGGCTTGTTGGGGGCAACCAGCGGTGTGTTTTGCTCACCTAGTGAGGCCGGGCAAGCATGAAACCCGCAGGATCACCCCGGCGCGCGTGCCGGACGCCTGGCGGGCCAAATTTTTGGGCACGGCTGGGATGCCAGTGGACTGGCTAAATTGGCTGATGCCCTTCAAAGCTTTGGTTGGACCTTTATTCCTCAAATTGTCCCAGTCGTCCAGTGACACCCTCAAAATCCCTGTTTGCTTTGGTGGCTTCCCCACTGAAAATGTTCAACCCCAGAAAGAAATGCCCCCCTTCTTTCTACCCGGGTTACTGCGCTGGGCAGTTTGTTTGGCCAACAGGGTTGCTGCTTTCCTTGGCCGGGGAGAAGGTCACATTTGTTTGAGGGGCTAAAGGCCGGCCCAGTTTTGTATCGTCTCGGATCGTCTTCGGGATCCTTTCATGCAGTTTTGCCATGTTTTTGCAACCCTCTTTTTCTGGTAGATTGTACCGGGAAGATTGAAAGCAAATCGTATGGACAGTGTCCCACGTAGACGGGCACCGTGCCAAAGCTTCCACGGGCGTCCAATTCCGCTTGGAAACCGGGCAGGTCTGATCCCTCACAGGGTGGACATGAGGGGGATGCGGGGAGGTGGAACCACTACGACTCAACAAGCCCGAAGCCTCTGATTCCATATGGTTCGGTGGAATCAGGTGCAGTCCAGCCTCACTTGAATCGAAACTTAGCTCATTTAGGAGACCTTCCGCTCCAACTTTGTTCAAAGCCAACGTTTCCACCTTCCAACCATGTATTTTGTTTTATTCATGTGGTATGTAATTGTGGTTGAAACCAACAAAAGCCAACAAAGAAAAATATGCGCGCACACAAACACTATGCTTTTCAACCCGAAGGACACGGCCGCTGCTTCAATCGCCGCAGCTTTGCTCAAGCCGCCCGAGAGCGCTGCCGGTGCTCGAGAGCGCGAGCCCTGCTGGCCATGGCGGACGTGGCCGCTAAACGGCGGAAGTGCGGGCCGGTGGAGACGGCGGGGCCGGTTGAGACGGGGTGTGGTTGCCCAACCCTACGGTTCAACCCGCGTGGGGCCTGAAGATTTGCTCTCTGCTTCTTTTTGCGTTCTACGCAAAGAGGTGACCAAGCATTGGAAAGTGTCACATGATGCACCGCATCCGGACTCCTCTCTTCATGCGCTGCCCTGCCGAGGTGGTGTGCGTCAGCGGCTGCTTGCTTGCACGGAGTGGGAACTCATGGTGCGCGCCAGGATGTGGAGTCCCAAACATTTGTGAGACACACCCACATACTTGAGCTTTGCGAGTGGCTGTTTTCAGGTGGGATACGGATGGGGCTGGCGCAAATGTCGGTTATGTGTGTTTCCTTCAAGGGACGCTGCGGCTGGCTCTCTCACAAAAGACGGTGGGGCCCTGTTTCGCTTGGTTGGATGTGTTTTGTTTGCTGTGCTCCCCGGTCCCTCCTGCAAAACAGTTCCCTCCGATTCCCTCCTTTCTTTTCGGGGGAAAGGCTTGTCATCTCATGTCTTCGGGACATGGTTCTTCAACAGGATGTGCAGAGAGCCTTATTCAAACATGCGCTGCAGCCTGCGACCTGGTCGGAGGTTCGACGAACTCTTGAGCATGTGTAGAGGTTCATGGTCTGTGGCAACGAGGCGTGGAGGTGCAAGCCCATAAGCCCGGGGATGACCAGCCCAGGTTTCGACTCATGTGGTAATGTTGGACGAGCTTAGTCTAGAAACCACACCAAGGTGCCTTTCTAAGGAGAACATGATGAGGTCGAGTTGCGCTTGAATGTATTTCAACACTTCGGCCTATGTTGGATATCATGGCGAGAGCAGCAAGCAAGCTGCCGTCCGAATCCTCAGTGGTCCTCTCTGAAAGAAGGCAGCCTTGCCTTCGGCCATGACCAATACCTGCCTTGCTTAGTCTCCATCCAAGATGGTACCCCGAAAGGTTAGTACCCATGATTCGGAAGGCTCCGGTTCCATATGAAGTGCTGGGAGGGCACCCGGCCCCGGGTGGATTTTGCTTTCTCGAGGCCTGCCGGGCGCCATGGGCCACGAGGTGTCCCAGGCCTGCATGCGGCGAGGCGGAGGGGTTGGGGGGGGGGAGTTTAGGGGAGTTGGGGGGAGTTGGGGGGAGTTGGGGGGAGTTGGGGGTGGGGGGGGAGTTTAGGGGAGTTGGGGGGAGTTGGGGGGAGTTTAGGGGAGTGGGGGGAGTTGGGGGGAGTTGGGGGCCTGATGAATATTTGGATGAAGTGGGGGGGCCAATTGCCGAGCGAGTACCACAGTTACTGGGCAGCTTGCCTTTCAACCGGATTATTTGTGGAGTTCAGGACGTGCTGGAAGCTTGGATAGGCTGAGGCTGTGTGCGTGCCGCGCGGGCGAGTCTTTGGCGGATCGTGAGTGAGCACTCACCGTTCCTGTTTTCCAGCTGTCTTTCAGCGCTGCTTGGCCTTTCTTTCAGCGCTGCAATGCATGTGCTTGATTCAGAGATTGTCCGACCTTGCTTGCTTTCCCACGCCAGAGAAGTTGAAGCTGGGTTTTTTCCCTGTCGCAGAAGAAGGCAACCATTATGATTAGAAGAGTGGTGGTCCTTGTGAATTTTAGGCATGCGGATCCTTTGCTCATGCATCCCTTCTGAGAATGTGCGCTCCTAGTATATATTCAGTAAAGCCAACCTTTTCCAAAAAGTCTCCCCCTTCTAGCGCAGAAAGGAACCTTGACCACATGAAGATGCACCCCTTTGTAGAGGGGGGATGTCTTGATCGCTGCGTATTGCCCGTAAGGTTGTCTCACAAGTTGGGCATTTGTTTGTGACGCTGGTGGCATTTTGCGAATTCAAGCGGGTCCGCACAACGGGCGTTTCGACAAGTTGAGATATAATTGTAAACGCTTCTCGTTGCCCACCTCGGCCCAGCCGCGCGCGCAGCGTCTGTGGTTCGACTGCACGCAGCAGAGCTGGTCAAGTGGCGATTCAGGAATGGACAGGTTCTGGCGTCGTTGGACCAATTCATGTCGCAGGAATCCCCGAAGGCAAGGGCAAGGCGATGCATAGGACCAGGAGTGAGTCATGAAGCCAAGAGTCAGTGGCGCTCGTGCTGGGGCAGTGGATGTCATGGGCGGAAGTTGCGCGCAAAGTCTCGACAACCAAAGCTGTGGTGATCAAAGCGCGCGGCAGTCTTGATCGACTGTGTTGGCGTGGGGTTCTTTCAAGCTCCGTTGGGCATCGGCTGCTTGCGCGGGCACATGCGAGCCAGAATGGGAATCCCACGCGCACGGCAGGATCGACCGTGTTGGCGTGGGGGAGGCTAGTCTCAGCACGCCAGGCAGGTGGTTGCGCAGCTGCACTCTGGGCGAGCTGGGCTGGGCCTTGCCAACTTGCTTGGGCGGCTTGCTTGGGTGGCTTGCTTGGGTGGGTCGCTGGTTGGGCTGGGCTTGAGGCTAGTCTCAGACACGTCAGACAGGCCTGGCCAAGCAGGAGGTCATGCATTTCGGAAAAAGTGACGGACCTTGACGGGACAGGATCGTGGGCGGGGAAGGGGTTGGGGAAGGGAAGATTCTTTTTGTAAAACAGATCTGAGCACGGCCCGAGGCAAATTCGTCAGGCTAGGGCAACACAGAGTGACTGGGGCTCAGGCTGTTTTGGACCCTTTGGAACCCTCTGACTCATAGAAAATAGCCCACCGTTCAGGTTTGACATATCATGCCCCTAGGTCCACGATGCTGGGCTCCCGTACTTCTTCCAAGTTTCTTGTTGGAAAGCTTGCAAAGTCCAGATAGTGTAGGTTCCCCTTGCCAAAGCGTGTCCCGAACAAATCGACAACATGGCCGGCATAGCCGAAGCGCCAGGGATGACGCTGGCCCCTGTTGGCCTCACCGGGCCCGGTATGCCGCAGTCCTGCCAGGCATGGCCCGGAAGGGGTCCCCTTTAAAAGGGGTGCGGCAACTTTTATTGAACCAGAATCCATCAGGTTGATTCTCCAGGGTTACCCAGCGTGCCCAAAGCCAAAAGCAAGAAAGACGCCAGTCGCCAGGTGAAGGAGGGCGAGACCACGGTGGAGGTCACCTTGGTGGGTGAGCCCGGGGCACAGAAGAAGGCCTTGGAGGAGTGGGATGGGGACGGGAAGCTCGCGCCTGGGGACTTCCGAAACCTCCACTTCCATGCTCGAAAACAAAGGCCGCCTTAACCACGCGGTCTCCAGCCGGCAAGTTCGGCAATTTTTCTGGAACAGCGGTCAGTCATGAGCTCTCAACCCCAGCGAGTTGAGCCAGTTTTCTGGAGCAGGGGTCATTCGTGGGCGAGGAGCTGAAAGCAAAGCACGGGGAGAAGCTCGTGATCATCGACTTCACCCATCCCACCGCCGCACGCTGCCTGCATGCGGGCGGGCGGGCCCCGGAACCTCACCCCCCCTCACTCACAACATGTTTGTTTTTGTTTTTTTGGCATGGGGGGGGGCTGCACTCATGGGGATGGCCCACTTGGGCTCACCCCTTCCCCCAAAAGCCTCGAGTCTCAAAACCCTCGTGCAAGCTTGGATTCATCCGGATGCATGACTTGCTTCGCTGGGACTCAACCAGCGAGCGTTGTTCTCTGGCTACAATACCCCTTTCAGATGCTTGGCTTATCCATTCAAATGCTTGGCTTGTCCCCCGCAAAGTCTCCATGGTTGCGGAAAAGTTGTGTTTACGTTGCCGCTTTTTGTCAGCTTGTCATCTTACCAGCGAAAGATGGAACATTGATGGACGTTGGTCGTGTTTGGAGGCTAGGACAAATGGGGGGGGGGGACACTCCTTTCGTTACTTTGCTGTCTCCGCGATTTCCTTTTAATTTTCCCTTGTGGTTCTTCTGCGTTTGCCCTTGGCTTCTCCGCAGTGTGCTCTATTGGCTTCCCTTTCTCGTCGCTTTGTAGATCGCCCCATATCAGCATGATGGACTATCGGCCCATTGCTCAAGACATCTCAAGACAATTCGAAAGGCGACCCATGCAAAAGGGACAAGAAGAACTCTCTAAATTTCCGACAAAAGCCAGGGTGATTCACTAAACTTTCCACGCCAAGCATAATGTGAGGAGTTGTCGAATTCA